CCAAACATAATGTAGTAGGTTTTGTCAGTGTTAAGCGTAAGTTTATTGGCTGTCATCCAAGTCGATATTTTGATCAGCTCCTCATTAACAATGGTGTTGAGGGTGGCAAGATTAGGGTGAGAGATGACATAAGTCGTGTCGTCAGCAAAGAGAATGGGGTTCAGGTGTTGAGATACGTTTGGAAGATCATTGATGTATATGAGGAAAGAGCAGGGGGCCAAGGACACTTCCCTGCGGAACTCCAGTATCAAGTGGGTGTGTTGTTGATGTTGTATCTTTAATGGTGACATACTGATACCTATTAGTAAGGTAAGATTTGAAATATGCAAGCGCATGGTCTCTTATACCAAAATGGTCAAGTTTGTGGAGTAGGATGCCGTGGTCTACTGTGTCAAAAGCTTTTCTTAGGTCAATAAAAATTCCTAGTGGATATTACTTATTTTCCAATGCTGTGTAAAGCAGATCTAGCATTTTTATGATTGCATCGTTAGTGCTTTTTTTTTCCTGAATCCAAATTGGCAGGGTTGAGTACGTTTTGTGCCGTAATAAATGAATATAGTCTCCTGTGCACGAGTTTCTCAAAGATTTTGGATAGTAATGGTAAGTTTGATATTGGCCTATAGTTGTTTAAATATGTAGGGTCACCACCTTTATGTATTGGTGTAACCCTTGCCGTCTTGAGTAGTTTCGGGAAGGTGCTAGTTTCTAGTGACTTGTTAAAAAGGATGAGATAGCATGCGAGAGGACATGGGCCGCTCTCTTGTACAATAATGGTGGGACATGAGACAGATTCCCTGAGTTATTTTTAAGTGACTTTATAATCTCGGTGACTTCCATGGGCTCAGTTGGAGCAAGATAGAAGGAATTTGGAAAATTCCCATCTAGGTAGTCCCCTGCATGGGCATTGGTGCGTGAGATTTTATTGGCGAGATTAGAACCTATGGTTGAGAAGAAGTCGTTTATCTTGTTAGCTGTATTAGTGGGATGCAGTGGTGTTTCATTAGGTTTAGTTAGGGCAATATTCTTGTTTTTTTTTCAGTTTGTGGGTCCCTAGAATCTGAGAGAGTGTTTTCCAGGTCTTTTTTATATCTCCTCTTGTGTCAGTGAATCTACTGGAGTAGTATAGTTGTTTGGCTTTCTTTATTACTTTGGTGAGGACTGATGAATAGTGTTTAAGAATATCTTTGGGTATTAAGCTGTGTCTATATTGCTTTTCATATTGGTGTTTCTTATCAATGGATTTCAAAATGGTGCTGGTTAGCCATGGGTAACCAAGCCGTTTGTTTGTGATCTGTTTCGTTTTTATAGGACAATGTTTGTTGTATAGTCTAAGTAATTTGTTAAGAAAAATGTCTGTCCAGTCATAAATTTACCATTGGCCTTGGAGAATTCTGTGGGCCAGTCAACAGTCTCTAGGTCAGCTGTGAACTTCCTTATTGAAGCCTCATCATGGAGTCTAAATGAAACTTTGCTGTATTCAAGTGGTGGTTTACTAATGTTTGTCAAGAGGAAGGTAGGGTAGTGGTCTGCAGTGCTATCTGTGATTATCCCTGATTTAAGGGGGGCTAGTATATTGGTCCATATGTGGTCTATTATGGTTGCACTTGTTTCAGTGAGCCTGGTTGGTTTAGTTATTGTTGGTATGAGAAGTGTGTTGTTCATATTGTTGATGAAATCAGTTACAGGCTGATCATCTAGTAGGCCAAGGTTGATGTTGAAGTCTCCAGCTAAGAGAAGGTGGTGCTTATTCATTTGTCTGTTTGTTATTAGCGCCTTTAGTTTCTCACTGAAATTTGGGATGTTTGTGTGAGGTATCCGGTAAATGGCACCGATTGTAATAGGCGTCTTAAGGTTTTTTACAGTAAAATTAGCAAAAATGTATTCTCCATATTCATCACTAAAGCAAGTGGTGCTAATACAAGATAATTGGTTAGAGTAATATATTGCAATACCACCCCCAACTTGGTATGGTCTGCAGTTGTGGATTGCTGTGTATCCTGGTAGAGGGTAGATATCTATTGTGTCCTGCTTAAGCCAGGTCTCAGTAAGAATAATGCAGGAGAAATGTGTCTTTAGTGATTCAAGGAGTGCCAAGAGGTCATCATAGTGTTTGCTTAAGGACCTAATGTTGTAGTTAAGTACTGATAGACTTTTAGCATTGTTTAGGATAGTGCTGGCTTGTGATGCTGTGTAGTAAAGGCAGTTACTTTCCAATAGGTTTTGATTGTGTGTCAGATTATGTAGGTTTAGATCAGGGTCAACATGATCAATCATCTTCTAGGTTTAAATTATGGTTATTTATATCCTGAGTTGTGGGTTGAGTTTTGTACTGATATCTGTAGTGTGGGGAGTTTGGACAAGTGTATAGCTAGAGTATTTTGGTCATGTAGAGTATAGTCACTAATACACATAATGAAGTTGGTGTTGTCTATGTGTTGTGCTGGAATGAGCTAAAGTACAACTAGGTATAAAATAATAATATAAAAATACAATTTAAAAATAGCACAAGACTCTCACTAGTAATTGCACTAAGGTCTAATGTAATGACTTTTGTATAGTCTATGTATTGAGCTAGAATGAGCTATAGTACAACTGAGTTTACCTGGAGTTTACCTGGAGAGAGTTCCGGGGGTCAACGCCCCCGCGGCCCGGTCTGAGACCAGGCCTCCTGGTGGATCAGAGCCTGATCAACCAGGCTGTTGCTGCTGGCTGCACGCAAACCAACATACGAGCCACAGCCCGGCTGATCCGGAACTGACTTTAGGTGCTTGTCCAGTGCCAGTTTAATCTAATAATATAAAAATACAAATTAAAAATAGCACCAGACTCTCACTAGTAATTACACTATGGTCTAATATAATGAATTTGGTATTGACTATGTACTGAGCTAGAATGAGCTATAGTACAACTGAGTTTAATCTAATGATATAAAAAAGGCACAAGACTCTCAATTGTAATTGCACTAAGGTCTTATATAAGTTGTTTACAAAGGCAATGGGGCCGGATAACATCTCTCCATGGGTCCTGCGAGAAGGAGCAGAGACGCTATGTGTACCCTTAAGAACAATATTTAATGCATCTATCGAAACAGGGAGATTGCCTGAGGCATGGAAGACAGCAAATGAAGTCCCAATCTTTAAAAAAGGAGACAGACATGAAGCACTAAACTACAGACCAGTGTCACTGACATGTATAGTATGCAAAGTCATGGAGAAGATTATCAGGAGAAGAGTGGTGGAACACCTAGAAAGGAATGATCTCATCAACAGCAGAGAACATGGTTTCAGGGACGGGAAATCCTGTGTCACAAACCTACTGGAGTTCTATGACATGGTGACAGCAGTAAGACAGGAGAGAGAGAGGGGTGGGTGGATTGCATTTTCTTGGACTGTAAGAAGGCGTTTGACACAGTTCCACACAAGAGATTAGTGCAAAAACTGGAGGACCAAGCGGGGATAACAGGGAAGGCATACAATGGATCAGGGAATACTTGTCAGGAAGACAGCAGCGAGTCATGGTAGTGGTGAGGTGTCAGAGTGGGCACCTGTGACCAGCGGGGTCCACAGGGGTCAGTCCTAGGACCAGTGCTGTTTCTGGTATTTGTGAACGACATGACTGAAGCAACAGACTCGAAGGGGTCCCTGTTTGCAGATGTCGTGAAGTTGATGAGAAGAATTCATTCGATCGAAGACCATGCAGAAACTACAAGGGATCGGGGACGGCTGCAGAACCGGGTCCAGCAATTGGTTCCTGAAGTTCACTCCACCAAGTGTAAAGTCATGAAGATTGGGGAAGGAAAAGAAGACCGCAGACGGAGTACAGTCCAGGGGGGCCAGAGACATACAAACCTCACTCAAGAAAAAAGAAACTTGGGGTGAGTATAACACCAGGCACATCTTCTGAAGCGCACATCAACCAAATAAACTGCTGCTGCATTTGGGCGCCTAGCAAACCTCAGAACAGCTTTTCCGACATCTTAAAAAGGGAAATCGTTCAGGACCCTGTACACCGTGTACCTTGGGCCCCATATTGGAGTATGCGGCACAGTCTGGAACCCACACCTAGCCAAGCACGTAAAGAAACTAGAGAAAGTGCAAAGGTTTGCAACAAGATAGTCCCAGAGCTAAGAGGTATGTCCTACGAGAAGGGGTTTAAGGGAAATCGACCTGACGACACTGGAGGACATGAGAGATAGAGGGGACATGATAACGACATACAAAATACTGAGAGGAATGGGACACAGCAACAAGGGGACACAGTTGGAAGATGAAGACACAGATGAATCACAGGGATGTAGGAAGTATTTCTTCAGCCACAGAGTAGTCAGGAAGTGGAATAGTTTGGGAAGCGATGTAGTGGAGGCAGGATCCATACATAGCTTTAAGCAGAGGTATGATAAAGCTCCCGGTTCAGGGAGAGTGACCTAGTAGCGACCCGTGAAACGGCCCGGGGGCCCGGAGCTAGGAATCGACCCTGCATCCAAAACTAGGTGAGTACACACACACACACACACACACACACACACCACACACACACACACACACACACACACACTCACACATACTGTTGTAGATATTGCTCCAGGTGTAATGTGTGTACTGAAGTTCTTACCTAATCCCTGAAGTTCTCACCTGATCCCTGACATTCTTACCTAATCCCCGAAGTTCTCACCTGATTATTGACGTTCTCACCTAATCCCTGAAGTTCTCACCTGATCCCTGACATTCTTACCTAATCCCTGTTGTTCTCACCCGATTTCCCCGCCGTTCTTACCTAACCTGTAGTTTCATTTTGATCCTGGGCGGTCTCAAATGTTCATGAAGTTTTCAAACCCCGTCCCTGCGTTTTATCTGATCTCTGACGTTACCCCTTCTTCCATCCCTCTAAATCTCTGATCCCCTGCCGTTTTCCCTTGATCTCTGACGCGTGACCTTTATCCCTGTGTTTGACCCCATTCCCTGATGCTCTCGCTTAATTTTTTGTTTCTGTTTGAAGTACTGATGTTTGATGGTGACAGTGGCGGGTCGTCTCCCTCACACAACGACCAGGAGAACACGGTGAGCTGCTGCTTGTGCTGTTCCTGCTGCTGTTTGTGCTGCTGCTGCTGTTGCATGTGCTGCTGCTGCTTTGCTGCTGCTGCTGCTGCTGCTGTTTGTGCTGCTGCTGCTTGTGCTGCTGCTGCTGCTGATTGTGCTGCTGCTGCTGCTGCTGCTGCTGCTTGTGCTGCTGCCGCTGCATGTGCTGCTGATGCTTGTGGTGCTGCTGCTAGTGGTGGTGGTGCTGCTGCATGTGCTGCTGCTGCTGCTTGTGGTGGTGCTGCTGCTGCTTGTGGTGCTACTGCTGCTTGTGCTACTGCTGCTTGTGCTGCTGCTGCTTGTGGTGCTACTGCTGCTTGTGTTGCTGCTACTCTCTGTCATGACCTCTCCCTCATCCGCCAGTTCGATACCCACACACCGCGTGTAAACTTTGTCTGGGAGTCCGTGTCTAATGACCGTACTTTGCTTGTGAGGAAACAAGTTACAGAGCAAGCTTTTACCGGGACAACTTTTCGCCCTGCCTAGAGCGACGTCCCAGTTCGGAAAGCTGTACCGATGAAAGCTTGCTCCTCAACATATCTTTTCTTCAATATAGCCAGCAGAGGTACGCTCATGGTATCCAGTACCTGGCTTCCTCTCTCACTGATTACTTTTGCCTGTAGTAGGGTATGCCTGTCTGTCTTTTGCTTTTGTTTGCTGCTTGCTTGCTTACTGCTGTCTAACTTAAAACTGTACTCAACTATTGGTGGCTATGGAGGTCGTGCCATAGCTCCTGAGCCCCTGTATGCCATGTCATGTGCTGATCTATGTTTGTCATCTCTCGGGAGGCATGTAAGTGTTGCTTACTGTGGGTATGTCTGGCTGTCTCATAATGCATGTTGCTGTCAGTTCCCTCCTGTCTTCCCTTCATGGCTAAATTCTCAGGATCTATGTTCGTGCACGCCCTTCCTTTATTCTGTTGTCCATCCCTTTATTTATCCATTCTTCGCTAGTATCCCTTTAGTTCATTTGTGATGTTATATCTCAGTTGTCTCTGCTTTCCAATTATTTCTTTTTATTAGTGTCTCTGGGTGAACATTGGCTATGTTTATGTAGCTGAGTCTGTCTCGTTAAGACGTGATGTTAATGGCTTTGAAAACTCACAAGATGAAGAATGAGGCATCTGTCCAATATTTGGGAATCTTTATTGAGGAAACGTTTCCCCAGCCAGTGACCTTTTCAGTCCAATACAAGAAGTCACTGGCTGGCGAAACGTTTCTTCAGTAAGGATTCCCAGATGTTTCACAACTGTCTCATTTTTTATCTCATTAAGGCGTCGATGTCACATTATTTATACAATTTTTTGTCCGGCTTTATTCTTTTCTTCTTCGCCTGTTAGGCTCCCATGCTTTATCATTATTGTCCGTAATTTTATCAACATTAATACCATCATTATTTATGGTTGTTCTTGTGAAAGAAGAGAGAAATTTGTAGGTTTCAGTTATACCAATAAGGTTCAGTTTCAAACATTCACCTCATTTTTCTATGTCATGTCGCAGCTTAAATACCCTGCATTCATAGTCAGTAATTTATTTTAAATGCAAAGATGAATGATACGACTAGGTGGTATTGGGGGGTAGGGAGTACGAGTGGCCTGGGGGATGTCAGGGGATGCCAGGAGATGCCAGACGCAGACTCTGCCACAGTGCCAGTGTTTATTCCAGTCTACTATGTCACAACTTTGGCTGTGTTCAACCATTCTCAACTATTAATCGATTTTTTTTTTATTTTTCCTTCCGTTCAGTAAGAACCAAATATTTGTTTGTGTGTATGTAATTTCGCTTTAAGATAACCTAATCCAAGATAACATACATAAGGAAATCAGATAAATTCCGTAAAAATAGAAAAATCGTCGTGTTATTTATGGGACAAGTTCGGCATCCACCAGGTCAGGAGCTCCTGGCCCTCACTGTTCCACTCGTCGTCTTCATAACACTGTGAGTTACATGATCCTCAGTACCTTCTCTGGTGGGCACTGAGAGCATGTGTCATGTGTAATGAGGATCTCTCTCGGCTGCAGGTGTTGCGCAGGAAGAAGAAGCGACGATGTCTAATGGCGCAGATGCAGCAGCGCCAGGCGGCCAACATGCGCGAGAGGAAGCGCATGCAGAGTATCAACGACGCATTTGAGGGCCTGCGTGCGCACATCCCCACACTCCCATACGAAAAACGTCTGTCCAAGGTGCGTAGAGCGGCAGGGAAGGATTTGTGTCACATTCAGCATCCCTGTAACAGTATGACACACCTCGCGTTACAGGTCCGTGACAAGGACCAAAGGACAGAGGAGCAAAGATAGCACCAGGAAGTACTAACATTCATCACATATTCTTTATTATACTTGATTTTTCAGTGGCACCATTTTATTGTTCTTTAACTAGGCAGGTATTGGAAGAAAAGAAATGTAAGTATATATCTATTTCTAGGAGAGGATATATGGCATTTGCAGAACCACATATTTAAAAAAAAAATGGCATTATCGCAATATGTAACAAAGCTTATTGCTTATCAGTATTGCAAATTACTATTGTAGCAAAACCGGGTACGTAAATATTAAGCCTCATACAAAATGGATATGTTATTGAAAGATATGTTTCATTAACACTGTATTCCTATACACAAATAACCCGCACATAGGAGAGAGGAGTTTATGACGGCGTTTCGGTCCGACTTGGACCATTTACAAAGTCCAAGTCTGACCGAAACGTCGTCGTAAGCTCCTTTCTCCTATGTGCAGGTTATTTGTTTATTCTTCCAGTCAGGATATTGTGCCTTTGTGTTAACTATATTCCTGTATTATTTATATCACGATTCTTGTAGTCTGCGCTTGCTATACTAATGCAACTGTAGTCTGTGCTGTTTTTTTCTGTGAAAATTTGCGCAGAAATGAGCCCGTATTTAAGCTATTCGCGCGCCGAGATTCAAAGATAAGAAGGGCCAAACCATACCATGGGTGGGGTTAGAACCCGCGATCAGAGAGTCACAAAACTCCAGACCGTCGCGTTAGCCACTGGACCAGCTACCACCCGTGGTATGGTTTGTTTGCAATCGAGTCATTACGATTTCATAACAAGGGCAAATTCTGCTGTACGATCATTTGGAATGTCTTGTGGTGTTGGCTGAGCAGTGTGTCATTCCGGTACCAACAACATTGAGAACAAAAAGGCACAATATCATGACTGGAACAATACACAAATAATCCGCACACTGGAGAAACAAGCTTATGACGACATTTCGGTCCGACTGGGACCATTCACAGGTCACAGTGTGACTTGTGAATGGTCCAATGTGCGACTTATTCGTGCATCATCAATATAATGAGAACTCGTTTGTTGCGGTTTAGCATCTCAATGGTATGATATCAGAAGCAACTTGATACGCATCTTGGAAAGTTTGTTTATGGTTAAATAACTATTATAGAAGCCACACTACCTTATGGCAGGTCCTTTACTTACCCTGTGGAGGTATTACGGTCTCTGCTGCCAGTGGCCTACTGGATGCTTCTTGCTCCCACCGGATGGTCTTGACATCAAACTCAGTACAAACCTGTGCTTTGGTCTTGCCCTTGTTTCCCCTTGCCTGGAAACCGAGCAGGTCACTGGAGGTACGACCTGCAGGTGGGCAACACGCAACAATGGTGGGTTGGAGAACCATTTTGATCCTGTATCTGCCATTTAGCGATATGATGGGTACTTTTAGTCCTAGGGGCTTTTTATTTTCGCAAACTGGCAAGCCTTACCATGTTGAACACGAGGGATAGTGGACGGGGAATGGAGAGCTGAAGAAAATCGTTATTGAAGATTGAGACACTTATGCAGCATATGGGAATCTTTATTCAGGAAACGTTTCGCCACACAGTGGCTTCATCAGTCCAATACAAAGAGGAAGGCGTAAGGAGAGGAGGAGTATGAGCTAATCAGTCCCTCAGCCTGGAGTCGATGTGTTCAGTCCATCTTGTAGAATGTACAGCATAGGGCCGTAGACGTGGCTTATATACTGTAGTGAGGTGAGGTGAAGCAGGCACGTCGCGTTAGCCACTGGACCAGCTAGTCATAATAAGATTCATCCAACTAGATATAGTTGGACTTGAGCTAGAGTTCGTCACGGCCACGCTAGCTGGAGATTCGTCTGTAAAAACTTGCATTTGTGGTCACAGTGGCGCCTATGCTAACCTTCCTATGGTGTAGAAATATACCTAGTTGGACGAATCTTATTGTGGCTAGCTGGTCCAGTGGCTAACGCGACGGTCTTGGGTTTTGAGACTCTCTGATCGCGGGTTCTATCCCCGCCCGTGGTATGGTTTGTTTGCAATCGTGTCATTACGATTTCGTGAGTCGTGTTGCTTGCTGGAAGTCTAACCCCCTCGTACACAAAACCTCCTTTATCCCCTCCCTTCACCCTTTCCTAGGACGACCTCTACCCCTTCCTTCCTTCCACTACAGATTTACACACTCTCCAAGTCATTCTAATTTGTTCCAACCCTTTAAATGTCCGAACCATCTCAGCAAGCCCTCCTCAGCCCTCTGGATAATACTTTTAGAAACCCTGCACCTCCTTCTAATCTCCAGGCTACGGATTCTCTGCATTATATTCACATCACACATTGCCCTCAGACACGACATCTCTACTGCCTCCAGCCTTCTCTTTGTTGCAACATTCACCACCCATGCTTCATACCAATACAGGTGGGTGGATTGCTTTTTTTGGACTGTAAGAAGGCTTTTTGACACTTTCCACACAAAGATTAGTGAAAAAAACGGGAGGCCCAAGCGGGATAACAGGAAGGCATAAAAGGATCAGGGAATATTGTCAGGAAACGCACGATCATGGAGGGGTGAGGTGCAAGTGGGCCCGTCCCAGCGGGGCCACGGGGTCGCCCTAGGCCGTGTGTTTTCGGGGGTATTTGTAAAAGAATGACTGAAGAAACAGACCGAAGGCCCCCTGTTTGCAGATGCGTGAATTTTGTGAGAAGAATTCATTCGATCGAAGCCCATGCAAAAACTCAAAGGGATTGGACGGCTGCAAAACCGGGTCCAGCTTTGGGTTTCCCTGAAGTTAAACTCCCACCAAGTGAAAAGGTCATGGGGGGGGGATTGGGGAAAGGGGCAAAGAAGACCGCAGACGGAGTACAGTCCAGGGGGCCAGAGAACAAACCTCACTAGAAAAAAGAACTTGGGGTGGATAACACCAGGCACTTTCTGAAGCGCACATCAACCAAAATAACTGCTGCTGCTTTTGGGCGCCTAGCAAACCTCAAAAAGTTCCGCCTTAATAAGGAATCTTCAGGCCCTGTACACCGTTCCCTTTTGGGCCATATGGAGTATGCGGCACCAGTCGGGGAACCCCCACACCTACCCAAGACGAAAAGAAACTGAGAAAGTGAAAAGGTTTGAACAAGACTGTCCCAGACTAAGAGGTATTCCTACGAGAAGGGGGTTGGGGAAAATCGACCTGACGCATGGAGGACAGGGAGAGTAGAGGGGACATGTAACGAATAAAAAATACGGAGGAAAGGGGACAACAAAAAAGGGGAACAGTTGGAAGAAAAGCACAGAAAATCCAGGGATTTTAGGAAGAAATTCTTCACCACAGAGTAGTCGGGAAGTGGAATGTTTGGGAAGCGATGTAGGGGAGGCGGTTCCATACATAGTTTTAAGCGGGGTAGATAAAGCTCCGGTTCAGGGAGAGTGCAAAGCGCCCAGTGAAACGGCGGGGCCCAGGAGCTGGGGAATCGCCCCCTGCCCAAAATGGGTGGTACACACACACCCACACACACACACACACACACACCACAACAACACACACACTAACATATGTTTAGATATTGCTCCAGTGTAATGTGTTTGAAGTTTTCCCTAACCCTGAAGTTCTCCCCTGACCCCCTGACATTCTTACCAACCCCCAAAGTTTCACCTGATTATTGACGTTCTCACCTAATCCTGAAGTTTCACCTGTCCCTGCCTTTTTCCCAAATCCCTGTGTTCTCACCTGACCCCGCCGTTTTACCTAACCCCTGTAGTTTCATATGACCCCTGACGGTTCAAATTTTCCTGAAGTTTTCACCTCGCCCTGCGTTCTATTGATCTCTGACTTTACCCCTTCTTCCATCCCTCTAAATCTCTGTCCCTGCCGTTTTCCCTTGATTTTTGACGGGCCCCTGATCCTTTTTTTGACCCTTCCCTGATGCTCTCGTTAATTTCTGTTTCTGTTTGAAGTACTGATTTTTGATGGTGACAGGGGCGGGTCGTCTCCCTCCACAACGACCAGGAGAACACGGTGACTGCTGTTGGGTTTTTTTTTTTCCTGCTGCGTTTGTGTGCTGCTGCTTTTGCATGGTCTGCGCTTTGCGCGCTGCGCTGCTGCGTTTGGCTGGCTGTTGGTGTGCTGTGCTGATTGTTGTGCTGCTGCTTGCTGCTTGCTTGTGCTGCTCCCCGTGCATGTGTGCTATGCTTGGGGTGCTGCTGTAGTTGGGGTGCTGCTGCATGTGTGCTGCGTGTTGTGGTGGGCTGCTGTGCTTGTGGTGTACTGTGTTGGCTACTGCTGCTTGTGCTGTGCTTTTGGGGTGCTATGCTGCTTGTGTTGCGCTCTCTCTGTCATGCCCCTCTCCTCATCCGCCAGTTCGATACCCAACACCGCGTGAAATTTTGTCGGAGCCGTGTCAATCCCCGTACTTTCTTGTGGGGAAACAATTACAGAGCAAGCTTTTCCCGGGACAATTTTTTCGCCGCCTAGAGCGGTCCCAGTTCGGAAAGCTGTACCGATGAAACTTGCCTCAACATATCTTTTCTTCATATACCCCAGCAGGGTAGCTCATGGTACCCATCCCGGGCTTCCTCTCTCACTGTTATTTTCCCGTAGTAGGGTATCCCCTGTCTGTCTTTTTTTTTTTTGCGCTTGCTTGCTTAGCTGTCTAACTTAAAACTGTACTCAACTAGGGGTATGGAGGTGTGCCATGCCCTGGCCCTTATGCCATGTCATGTGTGATCTATGTTTGTCATCCCCGGGGGAGGCATGTAAGTGTTGCTTACTGTGGGTATGTCTGGCTGTCTCAAATGCATGTTGCTGTCATTTCCCCTCTGTTTCCCCTTTTATGGCTAAAATTCTCGGATCTATGTTCGTGCACCCCCTTCCCTTTATTTTTTTCCCATCCCTTTATTTACCCTTCTTGTATATCCCTTTAGTTCATTTGTGAGTTATATCTCATTGTTCTTTTTCCCCAATTTATTTCTTTTTATTGTGTCTCGGGTGAACATTGGCTATGTTTTGTAGTGGTCTGTCTCTTTAAAGACGTGATGTTAAGGGCTTTAAAAAAACCACAAAATAAAGAATGGGATCTGTCCAATTTTGGGAATTTTTATTGAGGAAACTTTTTCCCCAGCCAGGACCTTTTTTCGCCAATCAAAATCACGGGCGGGCGAAACGTTTCTTCAGTAAGGTTTCCAGAGTTTCACAACTGTCTCTTTTTTATCTCTTTAAGGCGTCGATGTCACTTATTTATAAATTTTTTGTCCGGCTTTATTCTTTCTCTTCGCCTGTTAGGCTCCCATGCTTTTCATTTTTGTCCGAAATTTTATAAACTTAATCCCATCATTTTTTTAGGGTTGTTCTTGTAAAAGAAGAAAAATTTGTGGTTAGTTATCCCAAAAAGGGGTTCAGTTTCAAAATTCACCTCATTTTTCTATGTTGTCGCGTTTAATACCCTGCATTCATAGTCAGTAATTTTTTTTAAAAGCAAGATAATGATACGAAGGGGGATTGGGGGGGTAGGGAGTACGAGTGGCCTGGGGATGTCAGGGGATGCCGGAGATGCCCAACCCAGACTCTGCCACGTGCAGTGTTTATTCCATCTACTATGTCAAAATTTGGCTGTGTTAAACCCCTTCTCAACTATTAACGATTTTTTTTTTTTTTTTTCCTTCCGTTCAGTAAGAACCAAATATTTGTTTGTGGTTGTTTTTTCGTTTTAAAGATAACCAAATCCAAAGATAAATAATAAAAAATCAGAAAAATTCCGTAAAAAAAAAAAAAAAATCGTCGTGTTATTTATGGGAAAAGTTGGGGAATCCACCAGGTCAGGAGCCCCGGGCCCCTCACTTTTCCCACTGTGTTTCATAACCTGGAGTTAATGATCCTCAGTCCCTTCTCTGGGGGCACTGAGAGCTTGTATGGTAATGAGGATCTCTTCGGCTGCGGGGTGTTGCGAGGAAGAAAAAGGGGACGATTCTAATGGCGCAGAGCGCAGGCCAGGCGGCCAAAATTGCCGAGAGGAAGCCATGCGAGTTTAAACGACGCATTTGGGGGCCTGCGTGCGCACATCCCCCACCCCCTAAAAAAAAAAACGTCTGCCCAAGGGGTAGGCGGCGGGGGAAGGATTTGTGTCAATTCAGCATCCTTAACATTTGCACACCTCGCTTTACAGGCCGTAAAAGGAACCCAAAGGACAAGGAGAAAAGATGCCCGGAATTTAAAAATTATCAATTTTCTTTATTATACTTGATTTTCAGGGGCCCCTTTTTTATGTTTTTTAAACTAGGAGGTTTTGGGAAGAAAAAAAAGTAAGTATAAACTATTTCTAGGAGAGGAAATGGCATTTGCAGAACCACATTTTTAAAAAAAAAATGGCATTATGAAATGTAACAAAGCTTATTCTATCGATTGAAATTTAATTGTCAAAACCCGGGTACGAAATATTAAGCCTCATACAAAAGGAATTTATTAAAAAGATTTTTCATTAAACTGTATTCATACACAAAAAACCCGCCATAGGAGGAGGGTTTATGACGGCGTTTGGGTCCCGACTTGGACCATTTAAAAAGCCATTTGCCCGAAACGTCGTCGTAAGCCCTTTCCCTTGTGGGGTTTATTTGTTTATTTTTCGTGGGAATGTGCCTTTGTTTAAACTTATTCCTGTATTATTTATACCGATTCTTGTAGTCTGCGCTTGCTATCAAATGCAATGTTCTGTGCGTTTTTTCTGTGAAAATTTGCGCAGAAAGGGCCCCGTTTTTAAGCATTCGCGCCCCGAGTTTAAAAGTAAAAAGGGGCCCAAAACCCATACCAGGGGTGGGGTTTTAAAACCCCGCGTCAGAGAGCAAAAAAACTCCAGACCGTCGCTTTGCATGGACAGCTAACCCGTGGTAGGGTTTGTTTGCAACGGTCATTCTTTATAAAAAGGGGCAAATCTGCTGTACGATCATTTGGAAGTCTTGTGGTGTTGGCTGGCATGTGTCTTTCCCGGTACCAACAACTTGGGGAAACAAAAGGCCAATATCATGACGGAAAAATACACAAATAAACCGAAAACGGGAAAACAAGCTTATGACGACTTTTCGGTCCGACGGGGGCCCTTTTCACAGGTCCCAGTGTGATGTGAATGGTCCAATGTGCGATTATTCGTGATCAAAATTTAAAATGAGAACTCGTTTGTTGGGGTTTAGCATCTCAATGGTATGAATCAAAGCAACTTGATAATTTGGGAAAAAGTTGTTTATGTTAAATAAAATATTATAGAAGCCACACTACCTTTTGCAGGTCCTTTATTCCCCTTTGGGGGTATTACGGGCTCTGCTGCCGTGGTACTGGTGCTTCTTGCTCCCACCGGTGGCTTACATAAATCAGTCAAACCCGTGCTTTGGTCTTTCCCCTTTTTTCCTTGCCCGGGAAACCCAGCAGGTCATGGAGGTACGATGCAGGGGGGAAAACGCAACAATGGGGGTTGGAGAACCATTTTTTTTTATCCTGTATCTGCCATTTTGCGATATGATGGGGACTTTTAGTCCTAGGGGGTTTTTTTTTCGCAAAATGGCAAAACTTACCATGTTGAACACGAGGGGTGTGGCGGGGGAAAGGAGAGCTGAAAAAAATCTTTTTTGAAGAAATTTAGACACTTTTGCAGCATGGGATCTTTATTCAGGGAACGTTTTTGCCACACAGTGGGGTTCTCAGTCCAATACAAAGAGGAAGGGTAAGGAGAGGAGGGGGTAGAGCAAAACAGTCCCTCAGCTGGAGTCGATGTGTTCAGTCATTTGTGAATGTACGCTAGGGCCGTAGAAAGTGGCTTTTTACTGTATGAGGTGAGGGGAAGCAGGCACGTCGGTTACCCTGGACCCGCTGTTTTTAAAAAAATCATCCAAATAATATAGTTGGATTTTAGCAGGGTTTTTCAGGCCCCGTAGCTGGGGATTCGTCTGTAAAAATTGCATTTGGTCACAGTGGCGGCCCATCTAACCTTCCTAGGTTAGAAATATACTATTGGACGAATCTTTTTGTGGCGTGGTCCAGTGGCTACGCGGGCGGTCTTTGGGGTTTTTAGACTCCTTTATCGCGGGGTTTTATCCCCCCCCCGTGGTATGGGTTTTTTTGCAAACGTGCTTTCGATTTTGGAGTCGTGTTGCTTGCGGGAAGTTAACCCCCTCGTACACAAAAACCCTTTATCCCCTCCTTCACCTTTCCAGGACGACCCCTACCCCCTTTCCCTTCCCTTTCCCTAAGATTTTCCCCTTCCCAAATCATTCTAATTTGTTCCAACCCTTTAAATGTCCGAACCCTCTTGCAAGCCCTCCCCAGCCCCCTGGGTAATACTTTAAAACCCCTTTCACCCTTTTTTAATCTCCCGGCACGGGTTTCTGCATTATTTCACATCACACATTGCCCTCGACACACATCTTACTGCCCCCCAGCCTTCTCTTTTTTGCAAAAAATTACCACCCTCTATACCCCTATCACGTTGGTACCACTATACCTCATCATTCCCCCCCTTTTTTTCCACTAATAACGTTCTTTGTCTCATGACTCCCCAGTGCACCACCCCTTTTTTCCCCCATCAATCCATGATTCACCCCGCCTTTGTAGACCCCTCTGCGACAAGTCCACTTCCCAAAAATTTTGATACATACACTTCTCCTTTCTCCCCCCCTCTAAACTGAATTAATCTTTAATTACCCTTTTTTTTTTATCCTCATCCCCTTGTCTTTCCATGTTCACTTTTAATTTCCTCTTTACATCTTATTTAAAATTTGTTACCAACCCCTGTTTCCCTTTAATTTTCCCAAAAAACCCCTGTCTCAGCAAAAAGCATCTAGACACTTGTGTTTTCGAACTTTCTGGGGGCTATCCTGTCTGTTTCGTCATTCCCGTTTCCCTTTAAGGGGTGTGAATTCGCTAGAAGGAAAAAAAGTGGGCGGTTTTTCTTTTCCCCAAGGGGCCTTGAAATTTTCCCCTGTGACTTTTTATTCCTTCTTGTAAAATTTTTTTTTTCCCTTTAACTCCCGTTTTAATTTCCCCCTGCAAAGCTTTCTCTTTTTTGGGTTGAAAAAATGGGGTTAAAGGGGTTTTTCTTTTAATCTTTCAGTTCCCAAGATTTCCATTGTTTCTCTCTTTTGTTACCGTAAAATGTATCCCCCTTCCAACTTTTAAAAATTCCTTTTTTCCCAATTAAAATTTTTTTTCTCTTTCTGTTCATGTTTTTTTGAAAAAATTCAACTTTGAAAATTTTTTTATGTATTTTTAAATTTCTTTCTTTTTAAAAAATTTTTAGAATAATCAAAATTGTTCATTTTTTCTTTGTTTTGTATTTAAGACCTAGTTGGGGGCGTTTTAAAACCAAGTTTGACATGTTTTTTCATCCTTTAATAAACCTTCTTCTTTCCCCAATTTTAAATTTTTTCTCCAAAACTCGGTAGGCCCAAACCCTTTTTTAGTTTTTTTAAAACGCTTTTCACATGTTTTTAACTTTTTCTGTGAAAACATTTTTTTTTTTTTTATCCAAAATTTTTTCCCAAAATGGAATTAACATGCTAGTCTTTCCTCCCAAAATCATTTTTTGGTTAATTTTTTAACTTGGTATGTTTCAATCTTTTTAAAATTTTGGTTTTTTTGGAAACTTTGGTTTCCCAAAATTAAAAAAAGGATGTCTTTTCTATTCAAAACTCCTTTAAAAAAAAATCCGTAAATTTTTCCGTTTTTTGTTCCACAGTTTGGGGTATTTTGTCCCGACTTATATCAGGGGGAAGGTGGAAATTTTTTGGGGTTGAAATCATTGCCCCCTTCAACCCAAATTTTTTTAAAAAGAATTATAAAATGACCATATTTTCCCCTTTAATGTTTCCTGGGGGAAAAAAATTTACTAATCTTCCAAAAAAAATTTGAACAGACTTAAGAAATCGTTGACAAGCAAATAAACCAACCCCCGGGGGGGTATTTTACAAAAAGGTAACTAGCCCCTTTTTTCGCACTTCCCTTCAATTTTTGGTTAAGGAATTCTTTTTGAAACCAAAGGGGGAAATTTTTCAATCCATTTTTTTTCTTGGGAAAATTTAAAATTTTTTTCAAAAACTAAAATAATTTTTGAAGCAGGGGCCCCTTAAAACTAAAAGAAGGGGGGTTGGGGGAAATAAACATACACCCCTTTTTGGGTTGGGGTTTAATTTAAACAAAAATTTTCTTTCCCCGGGGGGTTTTTTTTTATTTTCCTTTTCCCCTTTTTTCTTTTGTTTTTGGGAATTTTCTTTTTGTTCGGGGTCCCCGGGGGGTAATATAATTTTTGTTTTTTTTTGAAAGAAAAATTAAACAAAAACTTTAAAAATTTTTAGTGGGAAGGAATTTTTTTGTCTTTTCTTTATAAGGGGGGGGACCAACCCGTTTAAAAATAAACTTTTTGAAAATAAAAAGGATAAATTTTTAAAAATTTTTTAAAAAAAGAAAAGGGTTTAACCCTTTCAAGGGGGATTTTGGATTGTTTAAAAGGAAATTTTGGGGGTTTTTCAAAGGAAATCAATTTAAAGGGGGTTTTTAAAAGGGGTAAAAATTTCCCCAGTAGGTGAAGAAAAAATTTTTAAAAAACCCCGGGGGAAAAAACCCATTATAAGATCTAGGGGCAGTTAAAAAATTAAAATGGGAAAATCCCCATTTTCAAAGCAAAAATAAAAAAATTTAAGGGATAAAAAAATTGTGAAATTAAAATTTAAATGGGCTTTAAAAAAGGGGTTTAAAAAATCCCCTTTTTAAGGAAAGGAGGTCACAAAATTTTGTTAAAAAGGGGGGTTTTCAGGGGAAAAAAATTTTGTAAACGGGGAGGGGGGGGGAATTTGGAGGATTCCCGGGGAAAAATTTTGGCGGGGAAAAACCATTAACAAAACATAAAACCTTTTATTAGGTCAAAAATTTTTATTGGGGGTTAAAAAAAGTTTTTAACAAGGTAATTTTTCCAAATTTACCTTTTAAAAAAATAATTTTGGAAAAAAGAAAAAATTTCGGGGAAAAACACCAAAAAGGGAAAAAGGGCCTTTAAAATTTTCACTGGGGGGGAAATTTTTCCCCCCCTTAAAAGGGGGGTTGGGTCAGGAAAATTCTTTAAAAAAATATTCCCCAAATCCCCCCTTTTTCTTTCCTCCAAAATTTTAAGATGTAAATTTTAAAAATAAAAAAGGGTGAATTGTTTCCAATCCCCACGTTTATACCCAGTTTGGAAAGGTGAATAGCCCCCCAGGCCCGGGGAAACCGGGCGTATTACAGGGTGTGTAGTGGCTAGGGGACAGTTACAAGTGAAAAGGGGGCGGTTGGATCGTAGTATGTGCGGTTGGCTCAATAGATCTTTGCCAGATCCCTGCTGTCCTTATCTCCACATCACTCGTGTCAGATGACCCACGTTGATAGTTCAAGGCTATAAACAGAGATTAAGTAGTTACAACCTGCTCGCTAAATCACTCACACGATAGGCGTACAACCTTTAAAAGAAATGGTGAGGATTAAAAAAAATGACGTTAAATTTACAGCAAGGCAGGAATTAGCACAAGTGTACAGCCTTAAATAAGAGTGAAGTTCTTAAGACAAAGAAAGAAATAAAATATTACAAGAGTGAAACGCATACTTACAGGTTTGATTGAAGCAGCTAGTCAAGTGATTTCTCCACTGGTTGGAGAGTCACACATCACCTCCCACCGGGTGAAAAGATGGGGGTTGGGGATAGCGGGAGCTAGACACTCCACGTGCCATACATCACCATACATTCATAATTTCCATACTCCTATATTGAGCTTTTCCCTCACAATAACTAATGTTATTGTCAGTGTTCCAGCAGTTAATCTAAACTGAGAGGGACTACATTTACATATCCTGTTAACTAGTCTATGTCACGCATTTTTAAATATAATATTCTAATTTTGCGAAAGGGCAGATGCAAACTGGATAGAAAACGAGAGGCTGGATAACCATCGTCTTCGAAACATAAGATAGCAAGACGATGATACTCTTCAAGGCATTTACGATCTCTGGACTGGAATATTAGTGAACACTTCAGACGAAATTATTGAAATGGAGAATGTACAGATAACTTTCGTTGGTAGTATTAGATCATTCAGGCACCTAAATCATTGGGAGCGTGTAAAATGTCTTAATCTATACTCCGTGGAACACTTGCGAGAATGATACATTGTAATTTATACTTACACACTGAAATTACTCCTTATGAGAGCAGGAAGCTCCAGAAATGGTACAAAATAGCCCCAATAAAATGCTGGTAATGCAACGAATAAGTGACTGATTAATAAGTGTAAAGGATCTAAGTTTTTACTTGTCATTCCATCGAGTATAAGAGGAATTACTTAACAAAAACTTAGCTGTTTTCAGGCGGAAACTTGATAAGTTCCTCGAATCAGTTTCTGATCATCCAGGTTGTGCCTCCAATGTACTGTACTGTTAGCACTAACTTCTTGAGTAATTATATCATTCAGTAGGCCAGGTCTGGAGCCGGTGTCTTCACGCTTTCTGATGCAAAGATGTCTTCACGTTCCCTGATGCACAAATGTCTTTATTCTCCATCATTGAGCGTGAAGATGTCTTCACGCTCTTTGATGGACAGGTATCTTCACGCTCTCTGAGTTGTCGATATCTCCTCACGTTCTTGATATGCAAAAGTCATCTAACCACACTCTAATTCGCAGATGTCTCCTCCTCCTATCTTTGACGCACACAAATTCATGCTATTTTTGATGTGCGCAGATTTCGTTTCAATCCTGACTTGTGTCAGGAGTTATTTGTCCAATTTCCTGAAAAGATAAACTACCAACATCCATCACCACCTGTACTTAACTCCCACACATTCCTCAGGTGGACACTCTGCGTCTGGCGATCGGTTACATCAGTTTCCTGGCGGAGCTGGTGGCGAGCGACCGTGCGCCTGACCCTCACCTCCACCCACCCAACCACAACGACGCCAACAGGAAGGTCATTGTACGCAGCTCCAGAAGTAAGTGAGAGAGAGAGAACGAGAGGTCTCAAGGGCACGAGAGGTCTAGAGAGAAATAGAAGACACACATGTACATGGAAGTATATGCTAAGGTCAGGTAGGAGAAGACACTGGAGTCCATAATGAGGTTATCTGTCGAGAAGGACGATTTACTTCTATCATGATTTAAGAGTATTAACAATTATTTAGAAAATTAAGGTAAGGATAGAAAAGCAGAAGTCTTTTGGTCTCTCGTCTTAACTGTCCAGAGCATTGTTGACTCATTTGAAAGGTATTATTACCTCTAGACGCTGTCCACGAACCACACAGATTTTTCAAATCCTTTCCTTGAATTGCTCCTGAAAAAGTAAATTTTCACGCGAAAGG